AATGAGCGGTTTCCTCGGCGGTATTTTAGCACCGGGAAGAAGCGTGAATCAGCCTGGGCGTGTTGCAGCCATGGCTTTTGGCGCATCAGGGATTGTGTAACCAGTAGCAAAAAAACCTCTGCTAGCCGTGTTGGATGATTGCAGGCTCACAGAGCACTCTCCTACCTATAACGTGCAGCCTTTAAGAAGAAGGTACTCGGGAGAAACTACTACAGAACATATATGTAAATGTAAGAAGATCCATTAGGGTGCCTGATGATAGAAGAGGAGTCTGAAAAGTGTGTCATGAGACAGATGATGCTAAACATAATCTGGCACGCAATGGCAATATTTTGAGACTGAGACTATTTTTGCAGCTACCGATTGCAATGCTCAGAGCCATTTTATGTTTAATGAGCACCCTTTCAATGAGGCGTTTCTCATCTGTGCTACTCATCTGGGAGGAAGTCATGAAATTCGGCTGAAAGCTTTGCTGACGAACAGAATTACGTGTGGTTTTCGTGGGTCTCTTTTTGAGATGTGCAGAAGAATCCAAGGCTGTAGCAAGCATCAAAACTACAGAAACTCTGAACAAAAATAAATGGCTAACGCTGCTGTTACAGTGAATATGTACTCGGTCAGGGATAAAATTGTGTAATCCTGCCTGTCTGCCCTATCGGCCAATACTTGAGATTATGGGCATGTATCTAAATGTCAGCGGTCTATTTGAGAATGAAAGAACGTGAATTCAAAGGAAAAGGCTTTTTCTTAAAGTGCCCTGTTACTAAACTGAAGAGGATTTGTTACCTCTGCTGGTCATGACTGCAGCAAGACTGAATAAGGACGGATTAATTCTTTTACGTACCTTAGGCAGGAACATTTTTATGTTCCTTTTTTGTTTGTTTGTTTTTGGTTTTTTTACGTTCCTTAGGTAGTTCCTTAGTCTATATAGGCTGCATCCAGTACTTGGAAGCTGATAGGCAGACGGCATGGTTCATAGAAAACCTTAGGCTCTGAGGAAGAGCTCAGCCGTGTACCTCCTTCAGTTAGGTACCACACCCTGTGTTACTCACTTGTACTAAACATCAGCCGTGTACCTCCTTCAGTTAGGTACCACGCCCTGTGTTACTCACTAAACATTGCTAAGCTGTACCTCTCTGTTTTGTTACAGCTTTTTAAATCGTCCCCTCCCATATGAAGTTCAGATTCCGTCATTCTGTTTTGTGATCGTATTTTAGCAGCACTTTACATCAATTTCAATAATGGTTTTTATAGCACCTCTTCGCCAGATGTCATCTGGGAGTGTTCCTGGCTCTTCTGGAGAGAACATGATTTACTATCTCCTTGCTGGTGTTGCTGCTTTTGGTGGTTTATTTTATGTAAGTGTTTGGGAATGGAGCTGTTTGTGCTTTCTGAGTTGGCATGGTGTAAGGTGTGTTCTGGGTTAAAGAACATGGTCAAGACACAAATGTCAAAAGAATGTGGATGTCGTAGCATATAACTGAATACAGTCTAACTTAAAAATCAGTTCAAGAGAACTAGTGAAACTGAATGCCTGTTGCTTGCCTGTTTTACTGTTACTGTGATATCTCGCGCTGTTTTCATTCTTAGTGGAAAACATATTTAAAACTGTGTGAAATGAATGTGTCCAAAGATGGAGTGAGGCACCTGTGTCTAACCCCTTGCCTCTTGTCCACCACAAACATTTAGAATATCTCAAAGCAGGCAGGACAGAGGTGAAGTAAGCTGTCTGAAGCCGCAAGGGGAAGATTATGAACCTCCTTAATTGGGGCACAAAGAAAGATTAGTTACTTAGAAAAAGCATGTTGAAGTTTTGTAAACATCTACTTTTGTCAAGTTTTTCAGTAATCATTCTCTTCCCTGCATCTAAATATATCAGACTCTGTGCTTCACGTCCCTAAAGCCTCCAGTTGATAGCTTCCTTCCACCCCCCCAAGATTTGAGCTAGTGAGATAGTGACTAGCACATCCCAGAGAGGTACATGTTTCCCTCTCCCACAAAATAATCCTCTTGAACGGTAAGTAGCTTCTACTTGTTCAAAATATCAAACTTGTGTGATTGCATATCTGGAGGAATAACAAATTCTCTTGCTGTCACCTTTTGACCATAGTTTTTTTAAAAAAATAATCTGACTGCAACTGTCTTTTAAAATACTGTGTTCAATTCCTGAAATACTGCAGCACTTCAAAAGCTGCATGGTATATTGTATTTGCTTTCTAACAATGGAGAAATATGAAATGTGTAAATATATTAGTATAGCAAAATAGATTTATTCTTTTTTAACCTTGCTTAGCATAATTTGATATGCCTTTTAAGATGAGCAGTAGCATTTGCTTAAAAACCCTTCTCTCCCTCTCCCCTCTTTTTGTTTGGTAACTTTGTAGGGACGTAGCAATAAGTTTAGGTATAATTTCCTTTCAGGCCTACAGAGTAGTCAGTTCATCCCGCAGCAAGTATATTGAACATATGAATATTCTTCATGAGAGAGCTGAGGGGCGGAAAAACAAACCTTGGTCAAGCAAGGGTGAGTTGAGCTCTTCTCTCTTGTTCCCTGGGTACACGAGGATCTGGAACAGATGCCTAGGTTGTCTAATCAGGCCTTAACCCTGTCCAAGTCCTTGTCTGAGCTCTGTGAATGGGAGTAAAGACAAAGATGGTTGCAAAGTGTTCTGCTACAAAGCTACTTCTGCACAAATTTTGGGAATGGACTTAATGTTTAGGCAGTGAATCTGGTCTGTGATCAACCTGCAGGAGTCTCTTTGGATGGAAAGAGTTGATGTGTGAACCGTTAATTGTATATTGGGTATTTGCAGTTGACCTACTGGAAGCGTAATGAAACTTGACTAAATACATAATGCTGTCGAAATCAATTTTGTTCTTTTGTTTGTTGGGGGGGAAGGAGATAATATCTTTTTCTCAGTCAAGTTTGGCTCCAGGCCACGTGCCATCAGGGAAAAGTTCAATAGGAAAAAACCTAATTTTTAAAAAAATACTGTAAATCGGACCTGTTTCTTATCCCACAACTTTGATTTTGTCCTTTTTAATTTAGGGTTAAATGAAAAGCAGACACCACCTAAATGTATGGCAAATCCTTACTTAGCTCTTCATGCTTAAATAATTAGACCATGTTAGTTCAAATACTTGTAATGGAATGTTGTCTGTCCACATCAATTAGTGTTACGGCAGGATTAATATAAAAGATAGAACTTTGGCAAGCATGGCCTTGCCAGGAAAAGCAATTAGAAAAAATGACTTCTTAAGGGTCTTTATATTTTTATTTAGTTGCTATTTAAAAAATAAATAAATTAATGAAGCCATAGCACTTGAAGCTCTTCTTTATTTTTTCTGATGCTGACATCTAGAGAATTGATTTAATATACTTGCATGCACACGAAGAATAGATTTGAATAAATTATACTGAGTTTAAATTTTGTTTTCAATATGAGAACATGCTTTCAATTGTCTGCCTCTAAAATTATTTCTTTTGAAGTTGTTAGTCTTGAAGTTCCACAACACATCCTTTAGTTTCAGAAGTTTAAAATTACAGATCTTAATGGCAAAACACCTTAATTTCCTTTCTCTTAAGCAGCTGGAAGCAATACAGTTTTTAAGTTTTTAAACTTAATTCTTCAAATGCTGAGAATTTGGCCACAATTTTAATGCAATCTTTCCTTATCCCTAAAATAAAAAAATCTAACCAGGACCAAAGTAGCTACTTTCTCCTAGTAACATAGTCACCTGCTCTTCAGGGAAGAAATGAGGGTTACACTCATTACATTCTGACTAACATAGTCAGAAGAACATGGTAGATGTGAAAGCATTAAGCAAACCTTCCAGGGCACTCAAAATGATGTCAGTATATGCCCTCTTTTCTCTTAAGGTTCATTTCTGCAAGGTACTGAGTTTTAACCCTAGTCTACCAAAATGTTTGAGTGGGATACCCGCAGAGTCAGTGGTGCTGTTGACCCACTGAAGGCTATACCTGTGTTGCCTGAGACGGGTAAGAGTACTCATTGCTCTGTAACTTTCTTGATTCTGACTTCGGGTACTCTCCAGACATCCCATAATCTGATGCCTTGCGCTGCTTAGTAACTTACATACATGTCACGACCAATGGCAGATGATTGCCACCTCCCTTATTATTGACAGTAAGAAGTCCAAAACGTTTCTAAGGCCATACAGTGAACACAGTTGAAACTTGTTTCCTATGTTATTTTCAATATTGGACTTCTGAATAAATGCTCAACCCAGAGTTTTTAATTGGACTTCTGAGTAGCTAATTCCAATTCACAATACAAAACTACTGTTGAATCAGCTCTTTTTAAAATCCTTCTTCATTCCCAACTGTATCCTCCCAAAAGAGGTTTCTGTTCTTACTTTTCCTATAGAATCCTCTGTGTGCTTTCTCAAAAGAATGTCTCTCTTCCTCCCCTTTTTTTCCTGTTCCCTGCATAGTCATATTTTTGTGTGTATCTTGTCACAGAGTGTTACCATAGTATTGCTTTTCCCAGAAGTGCCACTGCAGCTTCTTTCCCCACGCATTCTTTAGATTCAGTTAGTCCTTACACTTTTTCACGGTAAGCATTGCTGTTAAGAGAGATTAAAAATTCTGTTCTCACAGTAATCTCATATTTTTTAGGGTCACCTAAAATCAGGCTTAAAATAAGCTATAAAACAGTGCTGGTAACAATATGAAGTGGTGGATAGAAAAGCAGCGTGCCAAACAGCACATTCATGGCACATTTGCTACGTGTCCTATGGCAAGAGAAGAGCTTTCTAGCTGGAAGAACTTCATACTAGGGAGCAGCTGATCAGAGAGAGACTCTTCTGATACGAATTATTTTTGTGGTTTCTCATCCCGAGGAAAATTCTCCCCTTGTGCCCAAACCCAAAATATCTATTATAAAGAACTACATGTAGCAAACAAGGCTGTCAAAACAAGAGAAACAATCAAATGCTATTCTAGGCTTGTTTGTTTATTAGTGGATGAAATGATATTTAATGGTATTTTAATTAATTATATTAGACATTTAAAAAAAGACCTAACAGCAAGTTTTCTGCAGCTCTTCTTAACTGAAAGCTGCTCTCGAATGGAGGAAGGGATTTAAAAGAGCCCCTGGCAGAAGCCTGACTCGAAGTAGCAGTAGGAAATCTGGGACATCATTTGAACTGTAAAATGATGTTTGCCTTGCAGAACATTCTACTTGCTTATTTAGCAAATACTGAATTTTGCCTTCCATTTGCATGTGTCTCCTTTAAACTTGTTCCTGATTTCCTTCTTTTTTGGCAATGACTTTTCTTTTTAACTTGGTGCAAGCTGATTCAATCTTTCTAATCTATACTCTGCTTTTACACTTTCCAGACTAAAATACAAGGGAAATCTCTTTCCAAACCCGAGGAAGTTAAATACAAACAAAGGACAGTCGTTCACCATTGCGTACCTTGCAGCCTACCTTGGGATGACTTTATACCTTCTATTGTAAAACTCCGTACTTGTGAGACTTTAAAAGAACTACCTATGTTTGCAAGGCCAAACCATATTGAGCTTATTACTGAATCTGCTTTGTAGAAGGCAGTTCTGAGATTGAGAAGCTGGCTGTTCTGAATGAATGCACTCTATATTTGACTGTCCAATAAAGTGTACTGAATGCTGAGCTTGGCTGTTAGTCTGTTCTTTGTGTAATCAATGTAGGTTTTTTTGAACTATAGCATTCTCTTAAAGGGACATGATCAGGTTGCATAATGCAAAGCTTTGATTTTTACTGAGCAATGAATAGACTTGTGTTTAAACCCGAACACAAAAAGATAGGCTTGCACTAGCATAAGAAATCCAAGAATTAAAATTGGTCTGTTTAGTTTTTAAACAGATATAAAAGAATAAAATTAATTCTGACTATGTCTCTTTAAGCTCTTTTCTTTCCTTTCTATTCTCACTTAGTTTACACTGTATTGCAAACTTTATTTCCAGTTCTATTTTTTCACATGGTGAGTTGGTTCTAGTGGTAAACTTGCAATGAACACTTGGTATATAACTGTCTGTTGTTAACTTGATCTTAGTGCATGTTTGCATGGTGATTGTGCATATTTGTTGCTTTGTGCTGTTAGTTTTTAATGACTTGTCTCAGCTGAGTTTGAAGTAATGCACGATTGGGAAACACTGGGTTTTTCAGATTCTAAAGAGTCCGATCCACAGCAGTGTAGACAAGTCTTTAAAAGACAGCTGGGACTTGTAAAAAGAAAAAGGTTAGTCATAAGTGGTCATATCTCCAGTAAAGTGAGTGCTGACCACTTAAAATTAGCAAGTTATTTTCTTACTTATATACACCTAGTTTCAGTAAGGGTCCCCTGTTTTATTCTGTTTCACAGATCTCACCTTTCTTACTTAAGTGCTATGGCTCTTGCAGTGGTCACAGTGCATTCAGTACAGCTTTAAAGAAAGCAGGGTGAATAGGGATAGCGGAGTACCTGCGGCAGCGTAGAGCTAAGAGAGAGCACAAACCCCATCTGAAAACTGATCACTTGTTGGGCTCAGCATTATTGTAGCTATTGCCAGCCAAGTTAGCCACCTTGAAAATAGCCCTGCGCAAACTGAAGGCGCATCTTGGCTTGCAGTGCTTCTAAGCTGTGAGCCTGATGGATAATAAACTCCCTCAGAGCTTCTAAGTATGGTAGCAAATGTCTTATTCCCAGTGTGGTAATTCCACTGCTGGGTGCGAACAGGGCAAGAATCCTGCTTCCTCTGACACCCATGAATGCGTTATCACTGGCCCTTTCAGCAGAGCGGGTTTGGAGCAACACTGGGTGGGGTCCTTTTTTATCCTTCTCTGCACTCCCACCTCTTGCAGTCACTTGCTTTAAGCCACAGTTTCTTTTCTTATTACACTGAAGCAGTTATGAAACTCGGTAATTAAGAATATGGTTTCCTCATCTTGTAAACATCTTTTTTGATGCCACGTTAGACAATAGATTAATTATTGATTTCTTGACTTTGTTTGTGAATTCTGATTTACAAGCTTAGCTTCCCATTTTAAATTTAAATGAGGATGATGGTAAAAAGTAGTTGGTGACTTTGTGTTGCATGCATGCGCTTTACTCTCTTTATTGTATTAAATAAATCCTTAAAAGGTGATGAAGAAGAGACGGCTGATGTCACTGAAGCAGAGACAGCCACGGAAGAGGCTGACGCAGTAGCTGCTGCTGGACCTGCAGCACAGGATGAGAGTGCTGGACCTGCAGCACAGGATGAGAGTGCTGGGGTATCCCCAGAAACTGGAGGGGAGAATGACTTACCGGCTCCAGAGGCATCCCCTGCTGTGGAGGAAGCCCAGCAGGAAGCTGCTGCTAATTTGGAAGCTGCTGCTAATTCAGAAGCTGCTGCTAATTCAGAAGCTGCTGCAGTGCAAGGTTAACTTACGAATGCGGTTTTTGCGTGTGTGTGTTGTGGGTTCTAAAACTCTGCCTCTTACTACAGAACATTAAGAACAAACGTCAGTATTCCTAATGGAGTTTGTCCTGCAGTGAAAACTAATTCAGGTGTTACCTTGACATATCATGAGCATAAGGTAATTAAGATTATTAAATCAGTGTCTCTAAAAGCGTGCTGCCTGTGGCACTAGAGTTAGTCTAAAACTAGCAGAACGAAAAGTTTATTTTACTACCCCATTCTATTTCTCTTCTTTAAGATCTTCTATTAAGGTGAGCATGTAATATGATCAGTTAAACAGTTGTTTCAGCGACCTGGTTCTTAAGGGTTTGTTAAGGAATCTAAACACTTTATTTCACTGGCCATTCCTAAGATATTCACACTAAATAATTATAGCTGTTCTGTCAATGTAACTTCAACAGAATCTTGCATAGCAACCAAAACGTTGTCATGATCTCAGTTTTAAGGATAAACTAGGCTAAAAATTTCAAAAGTCCATAAAACATCAAATTGGTATTAAACACTTAAATCGATTAGTGGCTACATATTCAGTATTTTGAACTGTCAGGGTGTTTGAAATATTTTGGTTTACTATGCTTTTAAAAAAAAATGACAATAATACAAATGCAAACCTATCCGTAAGTTCCACAAAAGACTGGATTATAATTTAACTTCATTTTTTTAGCAACTTTTTTTTTTTTTTTTTACACGCTACTAACCTGTAAGAATGGAGCGGTGGCTTATCCTCTTACCTCTCGATTTGTTCAGCTAAAGTTGGAAGGGACACCCATAAAGCAATTGCAATTTCTCAGTCGATAGGAAAGCAGCAAACATTTGCATCTGGTGTCTTCAGTTAAAAAACAAACAAAACAGCAACAACAAAAAACTTGCCAGCCTATCATGAAAGAGAAACTTCATTCTAATTCTTACTTAGGGAAGTAAGGGAAGCCTTCAGTGTGGCTGTAGCAAGCATGAAAACCACTGAAGCGGTTTTCAGCTTGACTTAAACATGGAATCTTTACTGTACGCCTATGTTTGACTTACTTTGAGAAAACAAACATCTATTTGAGAGGATATATCTAAAACACAGGTCAAACCGAGATTAAAAGTATTTTGACTGCTAGTCCATGGGAGGTTATAGTACCTTGAAAGGTATTAGCAGATTCCGGAATTGTTTTCACCTTCACCTTTTTCCATGGTGACTCCGGTGAGGAATGGATGCATCTTAACTGCCTTTTTAACAAATGAACTTGAGAAATGGTGCAGCACTTCAAATGGCTGACTTTTGTGAAGGGTCTAGGTATGAATGGGATTTTAATTCGTGTGTGAATAGCTCTGGTGCTTGTCTGCAAAACAATCTGTTACAAATAACATTTTAAAACAATACTTGGTCCAACCTGCTGAAGGTAATATAGCTAATAAAAAGTACAAGTAAGTATATTTGTAGTGACTATTACTGTTTAAATATAAAAAGTATTTATAAGGTGGTAGTAGTTAAAATACCTAGAGTCTTAAAAATTTCCATTTCTATGGAATATTTGGGCCATTTCATTTAGAAAGGAAGTAATCTGGTATATGTTAAAGTTAGTGAATTAGAGCTGTTAAGAGATATAAGGTGTTTTAAAATGTCTTGCAGTGTTTACCTCTGTTGCTCTACAGAGCAATTGCAAAATTTCCCTTTAAGGAGCGGGCACTTGCTTGTATCTAGAAGTGGTTGAATACTCCTTTCACAATGCTTATCTAGGGGTATTTGTTAATTGTTGGGTAGGGTAGGATCTCCCGTATGGTAAATATTCCTGCCGCTCTATTGAAGAGGAAGCAGCTAGAATCTTCCCTGGGAAACATTGTGCATAAGTGGATTAAGTCTGAAGATCTAATTCTAGACATGGTGACTGTGTGTAGTTAGTGGTCACTATTTTATAAGAGTAAATATGTCTTGCAACTGTTCGTTACTGCTGGTGTTGACTGGAAGTGGATGTGCTATTTAGAAATTACTGATTTCTTAGATCTATTTTCTCTGGCAACATACTTACTGAAGAAAACAGCACTAGAACAACCCTTCTGTGACGTTGATACTTACAAGGGATTCTGAGGGTTGTTTCGGGTGTCCTCTGTCGAGTCTTGCTGCAGTGGGTATTCTTTGCTGTGTGGTAAAGCTGGCGGAAACAAACCTGTGGGATATAAAATTGTTGAGAAACTTCTGCATGTTGTTTCAGCCATCTTCCTTCCAACCTCTAATCAGGATATCACGTATTAGCTAAAGCATTTCATATCAGGCAGCAGAAGCTGTACTTCCCCTCGGTAATTACTAGTTTCTAAAGCAAGGGAGTGTTCTCCCCGGTGTAGCATTGCCTGATCTCCTTGACGTTTCTGGGATGTTAAAACTTGCTTCTGAGAACAGTTCTCTCATGCCACTGGTCACCAGTAAAGACTACTGTAAATAACTGTTTGTAACAGGTGTGCCTGAGTCCAGGTTGAACCTATGGATCTCATAAGCAGTCCACGTGCGGTTCCCCCACTGGGGCTAAGTCCTGCTGTGGCTGCCGTGTAACCCGAGTCCTGCCCGGGGAGCCTGCGGAGGCTCCTGCCGCTAGGTCACCTTAGCGTTGGGCTGCTCCTCTCGTCCAGGCCCCATCTGCAGGAGAACAGCATGACTGCTGAAGCAGTTCTTCCCTCGGATCTCTGAGGGATTGACAGAGGCCTCTGGCTCTTGACCGCGTGAAGGGTTTAACAAGCAGCACATAGTCCTACACACACAGGCTTAAACCAGTATCACTTTCCTTTAAGCTATGTAAAAGCTAGTTTCCATTGGCATAATACTTAAAATGTAAGAAGATGGTATTTTGATTCAAAAGTTCTCTGCTCTCTATGTACCACTTTGTTCAGTGTTTAGCTGCAGTCAACAGCTATTTGTGTTTTTAAAAAAATTAATTTTATAATTAAAACCTTCTGGAAATACCTTTCGGTTTTGTATTTAACCATCTTCATCATTTGTGTTGTCTCCATTTAGAGAAAAAAAAAGTGTATCTACATTTTTACTGAGGGTAGAGAATTATTTTTCTTTCAGAACTGCCAAGGGAAATGCAGGCTTACTTTGAAAAAGAATACTTATTTAAATAACTTCTATTAGTTTTGTTGGTAGCTTGATGTTACTTCCGCAGATGAACGTGCAAGTATTTTTAGCATTACCAGTAAACCTCTGCTTTTTCAAATGCAATTGTTTTTTTTTTA